TGTCATCTGTTAATTAAATCGTTAACCGATCGACGCACGATTTATACGAAGAGATACGCGGTTGAAAATCGTAGAAACGAAAGATCGACTCGAAACGAGTTCGATTTCTTAATCCGAAGCGTGCATCCGTTTACGAAGAAGGCCGCGATCGAATTCCGAAGCGGCGATCGAAGCGTTTTCGAGCAGGTTACGGGGCGCGATCGATCGTTTCTCACGGGCATACGTCGATCTTTATGGTTAACAGGGTTAAGTATACGCGAGGAAAAAGTGAGCCGCCTCCCGTGAATCAGGCTATCCTTCTCCTCTCCTCTTCTCGTCTCCTCCCCTCTCGGGGGAATCGAAAGCTTGGCCAACTTGAAAGACTTGGCCTCGGCTGCCTCCTTTTATAATGGATCGCGCTATAATGAAGCACGGTGCGCCGCGTTCCCTTTATTAATTAACGTTAAAAGGGAAACTTTTGTAATTCCGTCTTCTAAGACGAAGCGACGTACCCTGACCTCTGCATCGACCCCTTCGCCGTACCTATCGCCCTCCGGATCTTTACGTATCGGCCCTCCCGCAAAATAATGCACTCGTGGATAATTAAAACCCACCCCTTCCCCTCCTCCCCTCTTCTCGAGCGAAACAACCCTCCCCTCCCTCCTCTTCAACCCGCTTCGTCTATCCTTAATCCGATCTTAAGCCTATCTCTGCCGCGTGTGAGATACGTGTGTTTCCCCTCGCTCGTGAAGCTAGCTTTGGTGGACGGTATCGTATCGTGACAAGCTTTGCGACGAGCCCGAGTTCCCATCGACGTGTTTCGCGCAAAGCGAAACGAGTCGGTCATGCATGGTTTCCGTTCAATGCGTAAAATACGTTCCATTCGTTCCATTCCGCTCGTTGCTGGAACCTAGCGATTTTCGTTCGCTAATAAATTCTATGCCCGCGCATCGATGTCTTTATACCGAGCGTTCATCTATTATTTATCGAATCCACGCTCCCATCAAAGGGGAAAACAATTGTTCGAGGGACGGAGATCTCGAGATATTTTAATCGAGTCGAGAATCGAGGGAAGAGCATCGTGAAAAGAAAGAATCTCGATGTAATAGAGCGATGTGATAATAAAACGAGGCGAACGTGAGATTGTAATGTAATGTAACGTGATATTAAGCCGAGCGAAACGAAATTCTATTAAAAAAGAAGGAAAGGGAGGACGTTTAAACCGCCACTTTCCGCTCTTATAATGAAAAATTTTATTAGCGATTCGAGCCGAATATCATAAAAAAATAATCGCTTTTAATCCCACGGTTATGAATAAGGATAGCGAGGAGCAATAGGTTTTGGCTCCTCCCTCCATTGATTTACGTTAAAGGAAATTCGATCGAGATCTCCAATCCGGGTGAGGAAAAGAAAAAGCGAATTCTCGAAATCGCGAGATTCGAGGCAAACGGGATCCATAAGGGGGCATGCGAATTTCGATGGGCGATGTGTAGTAGGGGGATGATACGACGAATGCATTTGCGACCCGGTGATGTCATGCACCGTTTCGTACGGCTTGCTCATAGGGTTATAGTGTCCGCCAACGATCCTTAAATACGTAGCGATGAATATCGGTGAGTGTTGGCAACAACCGGAGTCAGAGTGGAGTACGTAAGTAAGACGAGAGATCGCGTTTCTCCGTATACGACCATGACACTAAATTATAACCGAGTCGCACAGCGGTTGTCAATCCAAAGTTATACAAGTAAGATCGCCCCCGTATAGGCAAGACGCGACGAAATTAATCATCTTTCTCTTCTTCTTCTTCTTCTTCTGTACTTGAGAAACTGGTCTGCCCAGACCCAATTCGAAACGATCGTTGCAGACGATCGAGCGAAAAGATGATATCGTGGAAGAGGGGGGCATGTTGAAAAGAAAACAGATTGAACAACGGCGAATCGAAACGTATGGCAGGATTGTGGATTAATCTACACGTTAAAATATCCGTACGAAGACAGAGAGATTTCGATGGAGAATTCGCGAAAGGATAGTCACCCGCGACCCGTGATATCAATGGAAATGTAATTACGAACTTGATATTAATTCTGGCAGGAATTGAATCATGGCCGGGCGCGGATCGAACGCGCGATAGCCGATACGAGGCAATGCAATTTCGTCCGCGGCGTAAGACGAAACCACGTGACAAATAGTCGTGACTATCGATAACCGCGTGCAGAGCACGGCGGAGCTGGCCACAGGCACGTACAAACCGAGATCTCTTAGCTCGAGAACTTAGGGGAGATAGGGGTCAATACGCTCGTACGTACACGTACTATAGCATGCGCACCTCGCGTGAATTAATCCAATTAACTTGTGTTAATTGGATTAATTTGATATTAATAAATTTTTCGGCGAGGCATCCGTCCGTTGATTCTATATATATCGCGTGGAATCGCATACGCGAGGCCTATCTCGCTTGCGTATAGAATTTGATCGGGATGAACGAGGATCGTACTTATGCGAGAAAATATCCACGAGGATATACAGTACGTGTACATCTTTTTAGCGCTGCAGATGTGGTTACCAGAGTGAGTATTGATGAAACAATAGAAGGTACGTGAACACGGTAGTGAAAGAACGGGCTATATCGCGATCCACATACGGTTGGAATGGTAATGAATGGTAGGTAGGAGTAAATGCGATGAAAAATCAATGGCAATTGTCGCATTAATGTACTATCGCTGTTCGTAGTACAATATAATCGAGGGTGTACTATATATGTGCTAAATTTATCGCTTTATATACGAATAATAAATTTAATCCCTTAGCTTATGTACCTTTTCTAATAAATAATAATTAATCGCGTTATAGCGATTGATCGATATCTCATTGAACGTTATGGTGTCAAAGGAAACGCTCTACGCTTATGAGAAAATCGGATAATACGCGCTGCACCTGCAAAACGGCAACCTTTATTACACCGCTGTCAACGATCGTGATTAGTGCTATGAAAATGTTACCGACGGTACCTAGATATAAAATTTTCAATTTTAATCGTTGAAAAGTAATTTTTGTTCATGCTCGAATAAATATCTATAGAAAAAAACTTTTTTTATACTTTTGGATGAAATTTAAAAAAATAGGCTGTAAAAATTTATTTTACGTTTTATATATCGTACTTTTTACATCTATACTTTTATCGAATAAAAAGAAAAAAAAATTTATTTTATATTCTTTATTTAATATTACATTTTTTTCTATTTTTTGTATTTTAGATTAAATTATTAAACGTTTGAATTAATTTGTTTTAAAAAATGATTATAAGAAAAAAGTACAACAAATTATAAAAAAATATCAATATTTCTTCTTTTCTTTTACTTGCAAATATATATATCGCATATATACATATATTTTGTCATAAATATTATAAAAAAGTTTCGAAAAATTTGAAAGATTAAATCGGCACTTACCTTCAGTTACACCATTCTAGCGACGTTTCTATATAATGTATCGATCAACGTCTCGTAGAAAGATGACAGTGGTTGTTCGATCATTGCCAAATCGCGATGTTGACGCTAATCGGCTGAAGAGATACAATTTCAAACAACAACGTATTGTTATCCAACGAAATTGAACGAACGTTTGGCACACATTCGGTAACGGCGAAACGCCGTTGCACCGACGGCGGTTCGCACTTCACAGATACATCGCGACGTCTGACGTTCCCGCGCCTATTGGCGTCGAAGTAGCGTCGTCATAACAACCGCGCATAACAATCTTTGTACACGCGCAATATGTTTCTATTCTGTAAATTATACGCGGCAATATTCGGATTATAGAAAATAATTTTTGCTAAAATATTATCGATTATTAACCGTAGGAAATATGGTGAGTTCATATTTCGATCATTTATATTTATTGCATAAATATAAAAACAATTGTATACTTTAAGTTTATATTTATTTATATATATTTATTTTAAAAATATATATAATGATTAGAGAAAATGAAAATAATTAAAATTTTAATATTAATAATATTAATAATATTATAATTTATGTCAAGAGTTCAATTATGTCAATATCTTTTTAATTATAAATAAATTTATTTTATGAATAATTTTTATTAATATTTAAATAGTAAATATTCTTGATTCTGCAAAGAAAATGTATATGAATACATCTATTACTATTTGTTCATAAATATATACTTCCAACCATTAATACCTTTTATATAATATCATTATGATAATACATAAAATAATAATGAGGTGACAAAGAAATATAATTGCAAAAATTTAAAAAAAACATTGTTTTGTGTTTTACTTATAAAAGTAAATCTATAAAATTATAATTATTGAATTAAAATCTAGCTTGATTTTGATATTTCCTATATTATATTATAATTCTTATTATTATAATCATAAAGATTATAATTACTACAAATTAAAATTAAAATTAAAATATTAAAATAATATTTTTTTAAAAAGAATTTCAAGGTTGGATTTGAAGATTATATTGTATTTTTCTAAAGAATAAGCTTATTTTTACTCATAAAATACATAACATATCAACGTTAATTATTAAATGAAATATTAAAATGAACTTTGTTCAAAGATATCTTCTTCGACTAATGTCTGTATTGATAAGTTGTTTGTAAGAAAGGTCAAATTTTTATTATATTATAACACAATTTTTTATTCTATTTTATATTTTAAATTCTTTAAAAATAAATTTTGTATAATTTTATCAAGTGAGACAAAGTAAAAATTACCAAAAGATAGAATTTGAAAATTTTTTATAAGACTAATAAATATGACAAACATAGTGTTTATATATATATATAATAAAATAATTTAGATTATATGCATATAAAATATAAATATATTATGTATGTTATATTTATATTACTGTAATTATAAGTTTTTTTTATATTATTATATAAGATGAAAATATTTTTTATTAAAATAAATATTATATTTTTTTATTATCTCTAGATTTTTCATATAAATTTTAAATAATTTAAGTATTATAATTTTTTAATATACTTTTATTAACAATAATACTACAAAAAATAGAATATATAATATAAAAATGAAAATAGATTAAATATGTTTCTTAATAAAGAAAAATTATTGAAATTACATGTAAAATAATAAAATATTAACAGCTTGATATAAAGTAGTAGCATAGCCTATGAAAAAAATTATTGCTCTGTGAGGTTGTTTTGCAAATATAGCATATACTAATGTGTGAAGAATTCTAGCAATTACAAAGGTTCTGATTAAGAGCGAAGCTAACCATATAGAAGGATTTGTAGTTAACCAGATAAATGTAACAATATACCATATAAGAATATTTTCTAAATCATTTAAATGTGCTCTGCGTACACGTTCAATTTCAGGATCATTGGTAGCAACTTTTGCTCCTTTTAAAGTTACAGCATCTTCAGGATTTAAAAATATCTGTAATATAAAATTTTATATTTATATTTATATTTATATTTATATCTATTTTATATAAAATATAAAAAAATTTATTGCAAAACTATTGAAAAAAATAACTATTGAAAAACATACCTTATTTTTAAATCTGTAATATGCAGTTAATGGAACCATTGCAATTAATTTTAAAGCAAGTATAGTACCCCAAAATGCAAAAATTTTGAAAATTTCTGCTTCCATAAGAAACGTATTTGAAGACATTTTGATTTTATTCGATGTAATTTAATAATTCAATAAATTATTTGAATAATAATAAATATTGTCGTCACGTTGTGTATTCAAATTGCGTTAAACTTCGCAAAAACTTTCTGAAACCATAGAATGATGCTGCAATCTGCAAGTATTTATATAACTGTGTTTATAAAGTATAAGAGTAGGGATAGATTAAAAAAATTAATTATCATCATACATTAATCATTTTTATGCGTATACAATATGTGTACGATTATAATGAGAAAAAGAGGGAGCAAGAATATTCTTTAATATATTTATATTTTCAAAAATCTATGTAAATATTTGTGTATTTCTTTATATTTGAATATTTGTTATATTTTTTATCTTTCAAATCTATTATAACTTTATATTTATCAAATATGTATTAAATTCAAAATATAATTCATATATATATGTGAGTATGTGTATATATAAATAGTATAAATAGTATAAATTCTATAAATTCATTAATTCCAAGATCCATATTTTTGTCCAATATTGTCCAATGAAAATACGTTAAATACAAGTTGCTTTTTACTGATTGGTTATTTCTGTTAGTATTTATGTAAAAATGTACAATCAGAATTCTCTTTAACAAGAAGAATTTAAGCGACAAGGTTATATATATATATCGTTTCTTTATACGTCACGTGATTGGAGATATACTTTCCAATCAGGAAACAGGAAGTCTAGATATTTATTAAATGAAATATTAAATTGATCTAAGTTTTTAATCGTCAATTGAAATAACATAAAAGAAAACTTATTGAATCAATTTAAGTATAATAATTAATTCGTTATAGAATTTATTTTCGTTTAATAAGTATCGATGGTATATTAGCAAATAGGGAATATTATAGAGCGCATGCGCGAGAAGCAACGCTGACGCAGAAGGTACGTCAGCTGTTTTGTTAGAGGTGCATGTATCGGGAATAGTATATTGTTGACTGGAGGGGCACTTCGCAGTTTGTTAGTCTGATCATATTTCTTTGTTTATTTGATGTGCAGAATCGTACTATCATCATAGAAAACGTCCTGCCGCGAGTGAAAAATCACGACACGTTGAGAAACGGCTAAGAAAATTATAGTAAAGACCGTAAATTATCTGGAAAACCCGTTGGAAATTGATTCTCACGAGAAGGAGTAGTGTTCGCAAAGGCGTCCGTCCGACTGTAGTGTTCTGTGCTACCACTTCAGGAGGTTTGGGACGTTCCGCTTCCTGGAACAGACTGCAACTCTACTTCCAGAAAAAAAATATGGCACAAACAACGAGTAGCGCTCTGAGGGCACTTGCCCTTGAATATAAAAGTCTTCAAGAGGAACCCGTCGAGGGATTCCGCGTGAAACTCGTTAACGAGGACAACATGTTTGAGTGGGAAGTGGCTATCTTCGGGCCCCCGGATACTCTTTACCAAGGAGGATACTTCAAGGTAATTATTATAATTATTATTAGCTTTTGTTCGTTTAAAACGTAAAGTCGACCAAGTTAAAAAATTCTTTTATTTTTATCTTTTTTCTATGTAAACATTACAATAGGATACATACTTTTCGTTTTGTTGGTTATGTTTTTGCTTTTGCGTTCAAGAGGTTCAAATTTTTTTTTTCATCAAAGAAGCTTATTTTATTCCAATTATTAAACACGATTAAAAATTTGCAATTATATATACTTTGTTTTGTTAAATTTATAACTATTTCGTTATTATTATTTCTTTTCTTTTAATGATTTTTATTTTCTTAAGAATGTTATTTTTACCATAATTTCTTTCCCGCCAATCTTAACAATAGCATAAACTTAACCATTCATTAGTAGTATTAAATTTACATGGTAACACGCGAAGCATTACGATTACCTTGACCAAAAAAGCAGCAACGCGGATGATGAGTTCGTCGCGATTAATCCTTTGATTTCTCTAATAACGGGCATTGCAATGGTTATTACCGTAAATTTGTTCGTCTTTCCTAGCTCGTTGCGATGAATGTTTTCACGTATAAGTCAAGCAGCGACTTTCAACCAACATTGAGCAATCTGAAAATTAAAGATTACTCAATGCAGTCGGATCGATTGCGTTCCACGTTGATTTACCCTTCTTATAGAGCTCTTCTTATCGGATTTTTACACGTGTATCCCACAATCGATAATACATCTCGAGACGCAATATCGCAATTATTTTTATTAAATACAAATATTTTCCAAAATGATTCTCGATATATTATGCGATACATATAATTTATACAATCGCATGACCATATTTAAAAAAATATAATATATAAGCAATGATATTTAGAGAGTTTCAAATGAAAAAAAAATTATTTGATCTTTTTTAAATTTTTCTAAATAATAGTAGCTACGATATCGTTATATATTTTCATAATCTACTTTTAACAAATAGAAAATGAATTCTGCCGTTACCGTACAGTTATATGGTTTTTTGTACAATCCGTGTCCGCTTTCTAAACCACTCTCTGCTTCGTTATGAATTTACGAACACTTATTCACGTAACGCGTACGTTACCTATCTTCCCACAGCAATATAACTGGTCGCAACGAGCACAACACCGTTATTTGCGAATCGTATCGTTCCGTACACGTGATCAGCATCTACGTGGGTGTCTCGAATCCTGTTCCACGAGATTCTAACTCACGCTTTGTAATCGTAATGCGACTCGATTGTAAACAGTGTCGTCACATATTATTATCATGGTAATACGGTGTTCTTTGTTGCTAGGTGGTTATCGCGATAATGCGACACACATAGTATTGTTAATCGACATTTCTCGCTGTCTACTACAAAAATCTTGCCGATCATTTAAATCGACAATTGTCTTCTGACTCGACATTTTACGATTGCAAGACTGTTTCAACCTCAAACGCAATTTTAAATTTCTTGCAACTCCTCTTAATCAATGAAGTTTAATATATTTCATCGTTCAACGAGTTAAATTCTAATCGTAATTACGCACGCTTTCCACATTATCATTATTATTTTCCGAACGGAAATTATAACTTACGGTTTATCACAAACCGTATTTCTTTCTCAGGGGTTTTACGATCGACCCAATGAAGTCGAGGAGTAGCGTGTGTTGCCATGTTACATAAAACGCCATCGAGCATTGTCTCGCGTCTATCTTTGGCCGGCATCCCTCGAATCACCTGAACGACTTTCACCCAGTCCCATTCCGCCTCAGATGAACGGGCCGGATTTTTCTCTCCAGGGAAAAGCGGCGTGTCGCGCAAACAGGTCATCCACGGCGAACGCCGATAAATGGGTCTTCTCGGTGTACGTGTATCTGTGCGTTGCCCGTGTCATTTTCTACAATCGAGGATCCCTTCCTTCCTTCTGATTTTGGCCCATTTAATCCTTTCACCTCGCCACGGCGAGAGATGGGCATCGTACGAGCCCGATACTTGACCGTAATGTATATGCCTTCTCTGTGAAACTGTTACTATCCGAATCAATATGCAATTCTCGTTTCACCACCAAACCGTTAAATCTCTCGCATATACTCATGTATATACCTTTCGCTTAATCTTCTCGAATTGTTTTTCAATTTATCCATCGATTAGAACCGCCTTAATATCGCCGTTATTGTTGATCGCGATAACGAAGTTATTATTAACGGAGCATTTTCAAAGTGAAAGTATAATTCGCAACGTTGCCTAGGGAGAAAAAGTGAAAGAAAAAAACTGGGCGAAGTCTCGATGACTAATCAACTTGAAGAGTCGAGAATCAACCAAGATAGCGAATGTATAGAGAGTTTATTTCGGGCATCTAAAGATAGGAGACAACTATGTTACTTCTATTCGTATACGTAAACGTATATGAATAATACGAAATTTCAGGAAATAGGAATGACGAAACGTTTTTCAAAGATTGAAATTTTTAAAATCGTACTCAAGATCCGTATTATTCTTATTGTTATCGATGTATTTATATCAAAAGATCACGTATCTATTCGATTTACGCACAACAACACTTGTTGTTGTTGCTTTTTCTTTCATTTGTCAACGAGGTTTACGATCAAACGAGAAATTTCGAAATGTTACTTACACCACGTCTCCTGTTACCACGCGTTTCCTCTTCTCGACTTGTGACACGTGCGATACGCGTCGTCCGCACGGATACACGATCGTCAGCTAAAAAGTTATTGCACAGTTATTTGGCGCAGTGACAACAACAGTTCGATGGATCGAAAGAATACGGAACTACTACGTGCCAATGACGATCTTCTCAACTCTAGAAAAAAGATAATAATTGTTATGAGTTTCGGTGTTATGAGTAACATTAAACGACCTTGTTCGACCAAATATGTTTTGGAAGGAGAAAAGAGATGATGATACCTGCCTTTCCGATTTAGGTCAGTCCTTGATCCTCCCTGAATCGGCGCGAAGTTTACGTACAACGATGGCCGTGTCTCGCAGTGCCATCTAAGGGGTGACCGTCAAATGCTTATGGTCGAAATAGGTCGAGAAAATTTATAGGTCACGCAGTGCAGTCGAATCGAAGGACGAAAATATCAACGAGCAAACGATCTTTTGTAATAATCGCGTAATAAAATAGACCATATTCCCGGATCTTTGATTTTCTCCTTAATTCTTTCGTTTAAACATTTCCGTTCTCTCTCGTTCTCGATTTGAATTGTACTGAATTATAATGAATTTTCGAATATTTAAATCGAACACTCAAAGTTCAACTTTTTTTTTTTTCTTTTCTTATAATTACAATATTACAATATTTATAATACGATATATTACAATTTTAATATTTTATAATACGATATAATTTTCTGCTATAATATATATATCTTTCACCTTCCATAATATTATTGTCAAGGTAATATGTTTCTATCACGTGTTAACTTGCATTATATTATTCAAGAATCGAACGCTTGTTTGTTCCGTTCGCATAACGTATTTGAGCGAAGTTATAGTTTTTCCTTTAACCGTATCGTCAATTTCTCCATTGTCTCCGATGTAACTATATACGATGTAAATATAACGAATGTAAATCTCGATTTTTGCCCTCGATAGAACCACCCGGTCGAATATCACACGTGCGTTATTTTTTCGTATCGTTTCAGGAAACATAAGGCCGTTGTAATTGCATAAATAATCGATCTCGTCCTCGATTCCGCGAATACCTTTCGCCGATGTCATGCGAGATTACCGACTGATAACCGCGCGATCGATTTTCCCATGTCCCCACGTTTGAAAAGCGCGACGCAATCGTCCGCTCCTTCGAGCAACGAGCCTCTCCCCCGAATGATTAATATAATTGTCAAACGGTTTATCCCCTGCTCGCAATGTCGCGGCATCGATGAAAAGATTTGCGAAAAAAAAGAAGATGGAGACGATGGGAAGGTTGATCCTGACCGCGTTGGGACGTTGGCTCGATTCGATCGCGAATTTCGATGATAAGAAATAAGTATGGAAATACGAACAGAGGCTGGACGGAAAGTAAGTTAATTCTAGGACGCTCTCTATCCCGGAGGACGAGGTGGATATTTGGGCCATGACCAGGTTGCGATCAATATAGCGTCCCGTCGGCGAAACCATCGACGAAAGTCTGGCAACCAAAGGACGGCCCTTATGCCTTGCCACCCTGTGCGCAGATTCGTTTCTGTGCCGATCACAAGCGCGTGGAACGTGAAAGGGAAAGAGGAACGCACCGTCCCTTCTCCCGGACGCGACATAGGGAGGGAGGAGGTGATCGTCTATTTGTCAAATAAACGATACCGTTATTCCGTGTTTCTGTTATTACCGAAACAAAGCTGTGTACCTTTGTGCTCCAAAGATTTTTGTGTTTTCGGGAAACGATCAACGGCGTTGAGACGAGATTAATTAAATGCGATCGAATTTGGCAAAGGCCTCGGTTCTCGGTTGTTTTTCCGGGCAAATTCATCCCTCGCGTGATCGAGTTTTCCCTCCCAGTGTTTGCTTATCGTTCAACTTTTTCTAGACGCTGCGAGCAATTCGTAAATGACTTGTAAATAATTTCCGGAACGAGGGCCGCCTTTGATAATTTGCATAAACGATTATCGATTGCCGATATTCGAATGCACCACCTTTCTTAACGCGCGCGTCCCGCGCCACTGCTTTCTTTATGTTCCAGGCACACATGAAATTCCCGCCGGATTATCCGTACAGCCCACCCAGCATTCGGTTTATGACGAAAGTTTGGCATCCGAACGTGTACGAGGTGAGTAAATTAACAGGAATTATGTGTTTCTCTTTTCCTCCTTCTTTGTCTTTGTCCAATTCCTTCGATTTCCATTTTATCTCTTACGCTTCGATATTCCTTTCGAAGGATTCAGAATTGTTGAAGAATCAGTCAATCTATAAATATCCGCGTTTCGAAGAATATATATATATATATAGATAATAATTTTAGACCGAAGGCGAGATTCGTTTCTTTTCATTTATTTATCAGTTATATATATCTATCTTTCATTCTCTGGAATCGTTTCGTATCCTAGTTCCGCTTTATATTTGCAATCGTTTCCTCGAAGCTCATCGAGTTCGAATCGCATCTCTCGCGAGTTCTTCGTATGACCCTTAAGCGACTAGCAAAGAGTCAACGACCGTCCAAAGCTCGTTGGATATCCTTGTCCAGTCACTTGTTGGAAGGGATGAGCCTAGGCGAACACGCCGCGGCTAACGGGAATAAACGCACGGAAATTTCATGCGTCGAGCAACGTGCATTAATTATACAATGGCCGATGGACGTAGCGAGTATGGATTATTACGAGAAGGATCCCGATACGAGCGAAGAGACGCCGGCCTCCTGGTTTTATTCTTGGAAATGAGTAAGCGTAGATGAAAGCCACCAACCGATATCATTTCGTCTCGTAACGATCGATCTTTGATGGATATATAAATAGCGTGAGGAAATAAGAAAGAGGAAGATGGTAAAATAAATGGCTGTGTATCGTTACTTCTTCTCGATGAAAGTTTCGTTCCCGTTATATCGTGCGAATATACATATAGCCGAGCCTCGCGTACGCTATTTTCCGTGCAATGAATACTTTTCATACGTTACGTCTTTCCGTGCTCTCGCACCAGAGGCCAATGCACTTCCATCTACCGTCGTCGTTTCGAGCTTGTCTTTCTTTCTTTCTTTCTTTCTTTCTTTCTTTTTTTTCTCGTGTGATAATTTTTCGCAAAGAGCAGCAGCAACAACGAACAATATAAATAATTTGTTTAACGTATATATATAATGGATAGATAACAACAGGAATTTCCTGTCACCTCGATGAACTCTGTAATCGGTGTTCCACGATTATCGGTCAATCGAAGCATATATCTGCACGTAGCGCGATATTTTTCAACGCTTAAATACGCATCAGGCTTTTGTCAAACAGAGATAGGCCGTCCTCGATGGAAAATTTACAAATTGTACAATTACACGGAGGGCGTTTCGTGATCCGGGACTAAAATTTCACGTAGCCCCACGATGCGTTCAATGACGGCGGAATGACTTTCTACCGAGTCTCTTTGTCCGCGATCGTCTCGCCACGTGAGTCACGTGCGTGAGAGATTTCTTGCTCCGCGGGGGATCTTACGACGCGTTGTAAACATGAGACACTGGCGGACAATAATAGCTCTCCCGCTTGAATTTTTCCCTCCCTCCCTCCCTCCCGGCAACGACGAGGAGGACAACGACGAAATACGCTATTGTTCCCTCGAAACTGTTCGTCGAATGACAAGTTGCTGCTTCGTCGCTGGAATCCCGGTAATACCATATTCCTTTCGAGAAACGAGGAGAGAACCGCGGTAAATAAGTGGCAAAGGGGACCGAAACTTATGCTCGAACAGTTATTCCAAGCTCTTTCGATGCGCATACTAACGTCACGTTATCGTATATCTTCAATGAACCCGCTCGAGTTGCTTTATCGTTCGTTTTCGCGCGATAATTCCCCATTCTTGTCCGCGACAATGTTTTATCGAGCGAAACGCCTGAAATACGGTCGAAACTTGGGTAAGCGCTTGACAATTATCCCCTTGACAAAACGAACGAGATATACGTCTCTTCTCCTTTTCTCGTCCTCCTTCCATATTCGACCAGATGCAAAGAAAACTTCCCTACCGATCTCTGTTCGAGCATGCGCTCTCTTCGAAGTTCCGTGTCCATGTTTCACGATGCGTTTCGAGAACGCTCGACCCGCTGATACAACACCCGCTCTTCCTCGAGATACGCGGTTCTTTGGTCGAGGTAAAATCATTACAAAATCCATAGGCTCGTTTGCCCTCGGCGAAGAGGTCGTCGCCTCAAGATTCGACGAACCGTAAAACGTCTGACCGGCTGTACGTGCACGAGCATAGAGAGAGGTTCACGCGCGAGCCCTCTATCTGCTTGCTGCCTGCTGGCCTGCCTTTGTGCCCGAGTGGTGCGCGTATACGTGTGTCGCAAGCCCGCTCGACTGTGTCCGATGGCAGTGTATCGACACGAATTACGCGTGTATAGGTGCTGCCGTTTACGAGCTACGCTAAGGTCGTAAGGTGGAAACGCTCCTCGTATAAAGTCGCGCTTAGGACCTCCATCTTTTCTATTAACAAGGACAGAATTCTCTCACAGAGGACTACTACCTGTTAAGGGAACAAACAACGGATTGCACGGTATTCCTTGATTTTGAAAAATCAAAGAGAATTTATAAGAGGTATTTCGCGATGAAATTGAATTGGGGATACGTAGAAATCGTTTCGAGCAATAAATGGACGTCGATAGAAAATTGGAAGAGTATATTTCGAAAGCGCGAAGTAAATGGGAACGCGCGCCCACGCCGTTTTGTCAAGATATTTAGAAGCGTTGATCGTCTGCGAGGCTTCCTGTTTGGATCGGTCAGAGGAGAGTTTCTCCTCCGCATCCACACACGTCTCTCGCTATGATTCATCGGCCATTGGAGGCGTGAAAGTGGTTCAGTCACCTCGTCAAAAATAATTCGGTTGTACGAATCGCGTTTCAGGTTAAACCCAACGTTGGTTATTTCGTTTATCAATTTGATCAAAAAGATCAAACGTATCGTATTATATATCGTTTTGTCGCAACACAGGCTAGATATTGGCAACGATCGAGTCGTATTTTTGCGGTCAAAATTTTAAACAGGGAACTAATTTTCTCCCGGATTTACGAGAATCCTAGAAGAAACCAAGCTATATATCTCGTGTGTAGCTCTCTCATGATAGTTTCTGATCGAGGGGTCTATTTTCGAGGCTGACCAATGCTCGGCAAGGTGCTCGCCTCGTTCGAAGATATACTCTTCGTTTCTCTCCCTCTTTTTCTTTCTTTTGCCAACGTCGCTAATTTTAAAAATTTACTCTTTCGGTGTTTCGCTCGCACGAATGACGTTAATAACGACGTCTACGACGAAATAAAGCTAAGCTAAGAATCGTCGAAAATGTCGCAATAACGCGAATTTTCGTTCTCGATCAAAATTAATCTTATCTTAGAAACGATTCGCTTGATTCGTTACAGTCGTACGTTACGAATCGCGAGTGAAAAATAACCACTGATCGATGAATATTTCTCGACACAAATTGCGTTGATACTTCGATTCGCATAGAGGTTAAGGAGGAAAAGAGATGTCCGTGTTTATTATATCGAAATTCGCGTTGTATAATTATATCAGGTATTTTCGAACATCGCTCATCAAAGCCCAGACTTATTTTCGCCTCGTATAACCGTCATGCACCACCAATCTGTCGAGCAGAACTCGGTTCAAAGATAAAAGTTTGTCGCCCGTTATATCCGGCAAGAAATCGCGCGACCTGTTGCACAACGTTGAAAATCAACTCTCCGCATTCGTCTCCGCATATTCGCTCTATTTTCCTTTCCAATTCAATTCTCCCACGTTTCATCGGTCTTACGAATCTGTGTCGAGTTCGTGTCGCAAGAAAATTTATTTCACGATCGAATATCGAGTTTCGTTCTCCCCCCCAAAAAAAATAATTTCTGCCGATATATCAGACGGAATACCATCTAGATTTCCAATTCTCATTGGCCAGAATCGAAGTTCACGAGTGTCGGGTTGATAGATCGATTTGGATCACCTTACCAGCTGCGCGCACGATACCGAGAATTATTTTCTCGGTACGCAACAGTGGCCGCGAATTTTCGGGAATCGAAGCGGATTGAGAACTGTTCTTCTCTCTTTCTACGCTGGCCACTCGCCAACGGCACTGCGGTATGCCACGCTTTTGTCCACAAAAAGTGTGCTTACCACACGAGCGTATATCTATCTTCTTACCGCCCCTCCCTCCTCCCCTCCCCTCCCGCTCCGTTGCTTCGTTGAGCCTCGAGTCGAGATAGAAAGTAGGAAAAGAAATGTACACATTCAGCTCTTATCGTGGTGACGCGTCAACATTCGACAGCGTGCAACTTCAACCGCGAATCGAAAGATTTCGCAAGCTCGAATTTCCGGGCGACCCACTTCTATTACTATTTCGCGCTTATAAAATTCTATCGCGCGTTAATGCTCCACCCATTCGTCTCCCGTGCGATACATCTATAAATTTCAAAATCGTCTATAAATTTTCCCTTCCATTTCGTACTTTTCACGCGGTGAGAGCGAAAAGGAAAAGTCGGTGTTGGTTCGCGAAATCGCAAAATTCTGTTCTTCGTAATACGTACCGATTGGCAATGGTAAACGATGGTTTCGCTCGCGCGAAAAACAAACGACGGTGAAAGTTTATTTGCAAACGAATAAACGGTTTTTCTTTTGCCTTTCAGAAGAGTGATACCTCGATGACTCGATTCTCGATTCGATCCATCGAAAGTTTGAAAATTATTTTGCAAAATTATTATACGCGCTTTTAATATATAGCGAAGAGATTGCCACGAGTTGGCTTTTATGTAGTTACGTTTCTTATGCCGATCGATCGGGTTTAAACGCTTCAGTGAACCGGGACGAACGGTTCCACGAAGACATACGGCGCTAGAAGTCGCCCGTGTAAATGCTAATCGAGATTACCAAGTAGATTAGTAGATGTTTCGACCGGTTGGATACGGAAGTTAGTTGCCGGCTGGTTAGTAACGGTTGTGACGGACGAGAAACTGTGCACACCACTTCCTTTCAATGGCCACCGCCGCAGTAGTTTCACCCATTGTTACGCCTATCCATAACCTGCCGATTAAATCTAATTAACCATCGCGTTTCCGCGTCCATTACGCGCTTTTCATTCAACGGATAAATTGCCCTATGCATCGCGTAAATCTTGTTCGTATCCGATTATAATGCCTCCCCCTCCTTTTCCCCTCTTCTCCCCCGTGGAAACTGCCTCGATCGACAAAGAACGACAAGCGTGGCCGAGTTGCTCAACTTCCGAGAGCAAACATTTCCTTGCGTCACGAGATTTATATTCAACGTTGCACGCTCTCCGCGAGAAGCGTCCACGGTTTCGACGAAGTCTTCGCTTCGAGAAACATCGATCCGATTCGATCTTTCTTCCGCGCGAAAATTTCAAAACGAAACGAATCGGCGGCCATGTTGTTGAGATACGGACACGATCGATTGGAGAATCGGTTACGTGGAATGGCGAATCTCGGTTTCACTGACTTCTTCTTTGCTTTGCTTATTCGATTCGGCATCGAATATTCGATCGAGGAGAAAAGGAAAACGAGAAGAAATTTTCTTCAGAGACGTTGCATGTCCGCGTGCATCTCAAACAGCAAACGTGTATACGTATGTTCGTGACTTGGGCTCCGAATATGGCGCGAATAAAGGGGACTGGACAAGGATTTTCAACTCTGCGAAAGAAGTTGCGAGTTTTGTCCTTCGACTCAGTCGGGGCTTCTTTCCAGCGATGCTTCCTCAGGGACGATTAACGTGCAACTCGCCCCCTCTCCTCTCCTCTCCTCTCCTCTTCTTTCCTTCGATCAAATAATTCTGTTATTAAAGTCGATCGTTGCTTTTGAAATTCGTTTCAAAAATATTTGCGCATTCAACATCCCCATCTTTTTTCTCGAAGAACGTTTTGTTATTGGTATTTTTACATTTTGGTTATTAAAAATTGATTAAATATAATAAGATTAATCGTTAAAATTTATGCTGTGTAGAATGGAGATCTATGTATATCGATTCTGCATCCACCAGTGGATGATCCACAAAGTGGAGAACTGCCATGCGAAAGGTGGAATCCGACACAAAATGTTAGGTGAGCATTACAAATATTTTCTAAATACGTACTATTGCTTTATTCGAAAGAAATCCTTTAAAACGGATCTGATTGGTTACTTTTGATAAAAATAATGCAGTCAGGAAAAAAATCAGATTATACAGGATCACGTGACAATGCATCAAGAAACTTACTCTTCTTACAACGTATATCATCTCTAAGGACTTTTTAATAATGCATACTATTTTATATTTTGCATAATATTAAATATTGAAAACTGATATTTAGTATAGTATATATATAATTTTAATGCATGCTATGTGAAACATTGATTTACAAAAATGATAAACGAATTGTGATTTTGGAATAGGACGATCCTGTTGTCCGTGATATCGTTACTGAACGAACCGAATACGTACAGCCCTGCCAACGTGGATGCCTCCGTAATGTATAGGCGCTGGCGCGACTCCAAGGGTAAAGACAAAGAGTATGAAAATATCATAAGGTATAATAATATTGATTTATTCCGCATTTTTTTTTTTTTTCATTTATCTTCTACGTAACATTTTTTTTTTAACCCCTCCCTTTAAATAATTAATATCGATAATAAATATTATTTAATCACGATCATGTAATATAAATTTATTATGATACGTAAAACGAATTTAATAATTTATTAGTAGTTTTCGAGAAAATACAAATAGAAAATTGGACAAATTGGATAAATGCGTGTACATGCAAGAAAAATGTTTTGATTTGTTGATTACAGAAAACAGGCACAAGCAGCGAAGATGGAAGCTGAGAAAGAGGGGATCGTCGTACCGGTAACGTTGGAAGATTATTGCATTAAAACTCATGCGAGGCCGGCCGAGCAACAGTTAGACATGACGGATTTCTATGATGACGAGTACGAACTGGATGACGACGATGATGACGAACAAATGAGCGCCAGCGATTACGAAGACGGTGACGACAGTGGCAACGGAGAGTCGTGATCCATTTTCTGAAACAATTAAATAAACTCGAAAACGCTAATTATTATCAGTTCTGTATAGATTAATAAATTAACGGGCTTCTAAACCGGACGCTCTCTCTTTTCAGACGTGCCACCTAAAATTCAAATACACGGTCAAAAAAGAAATTATTCGTCGTTTAGATGTTTACGTAGAGTTTAAAATAACGTTGATTATTGTATAATTCGTTGTCGCGATATTTTAGGCAGAATCAACGTTAAATTTGGTTAATAATCATTTATCATTATTCTTTTTTATAATCGTTCGAGATTGAATATGGTAATATGAGAAATAATTTAATTTTGATTTATTTAAAAATTCTAATTGAAAACTATTGCAACGCGAAGAGAATGAAATGAGATTTCATTGTAATCGGGAAAGATTTGAAGAAGATTCAAAGAATCAAAAAAAAATCGAAAAATTATATTTTAAGAAACTAACTCGGTGAATAAAACCAAAATTCTATGTTTTTAATTTTAAGATATGTTAAATTATTGAGAATGTCGTGTTTATAAGCTCTTTAACTTAAGCAATATACGGTATGAAAATGAGTACTTTGTTAGAAGCACTGTGCTTGTTGTGTTGTGGTTGGCACGTCGATCTTTTAACTAGATAAAAAGTAAAAGGACCAATTGATTTACCTTATGGTGATCATTGATGAGCGTTCGATAAAATTAATCATAATGAAAAGTACAATGATTGGGCTGGCTCAAGTCTTCTTTATCCGTGTGTCGTATTTGAAATTATCAATGGGTATATCAATTGATCCTGCATTTCAAATCTTCGGTATAATTTACGTTAAATAAAAAATAAAATTTCTCTGTGTTTCGTATGATTATTTATGTTACAAGCTAAAAGTTGAAAAAGAAATTCGAATGTGTGAGAAAAAAACAAACTGCCAAAAAAGACCTGTTAAACATTCTTCGTAGTCATAAATTTTATTTAGAAGACAAGTATGATGTTTGAAACTTCCGAATGTTTTTCTTGATTGAAACCGCATACCGAATAATTGATTTCATTTTTCTTTTTTTTTTTATACATGCAGATTTATATAAGTTTAAATATTACTCCTGTAAGTACTTCTTTATTATGAAGCTACGAGGATTGTATTTTACGAATTAGTTCAATATTTTAGAGCAGGTCTTTAGACAGCTTGTTTATTCATTATTATATTCATGTTTAAAACATTTATAGTATAATTTTTCCTATGATCGATATATTTTAAGTTTCAATGATTTGTTTCGTTAACATTACTAAATTTTTTGAGAAAAGTACTGATGTACGTTTATTAACTTCTACGTGCATTGCGCTACATCCACAAAGTTAGTTTAGCTTATAACAATTATTAAGATCTCTTGATGTTAAGTATTATCTTTCACACGGGGACGAAGCTTTGTAGGTGAAATTGATTAAACATAAGCTTACTACTTAAGTGAAAGGAATACCAGATACAGCTAACCTACTCTGTGGTAGTGTATCTGTGCTCGTACGACTGAAATTGTAAATAGTACATGAAACTCAATCTTAAAGACATGAAATGTGTAAATGGTACTTCTATCTTCGTTCTCCATTAGCCATTTTATTAAAAGACCAAAATTAAGTGTTGAAAAATGTTAAACGATAAAATAAAAGCAAAAGAATATTTAAATTTCAATATTGTCTAAAGGAAACATATATTCAGCGCTTGTAGTAGTATAGCAAAAAGTAAATATTCCCTAGTTCCTTGACATACTGTAAAACCTTTTTCATTTCATGTTGTCCCTAGTTACTTAATAATAGATGAAACTGTGTAAGACACTGACATAACACTAATAATTTGTATACTACATAATTCTTTTCTCCTTTTTTTGTACATACCAATAAAATCTCTTCGTACAATTTAATAAAACTAGCGCAACAATATTATATATTGGTTCATAGTTTAAGTTAAATATTACTTTAATTTTTCATATTTTCGTATTTATAATGATCTTAATCAATATATTTATAATATTAATAGACTGATAAAAAACACTTTATTTTTTAGGTAAGTAAACGTGTCTTTATTGAAAATTGTTCATCTTAATAACAAGAATAGTTTCAAATCGAATCGTATTCAAAATTATCGTAAATATATAAATCGTAAATATGTGATACACAATTAACTTACAGATTCAACATTTTCTTTTTTAGGAATACCCACTAATATATGATTTTTTGGTGTACATGTGTTCGGTATGAATTTAGAAAGATACACTCTATAACCACATTGTTCAGCCTGTAGTTTTCTATCGGTATCGATAATAGTCATACATTCGTATCCCTGATTTGTTTTGATATTTTTTTCATCGTGAGTTTGATCAGCAGCATGACTGAGAATTATATAACTTTCCTTATCTATTTCATCCCTAAAAATATTACTCCTTGGATATTTCAAATGATCACAATTATGCAATGATCCATAACAGCAAGGACAACATACGAAGATAGCTTTTTCTTTGATGCATTGTTTTATGACTAAATCAGTTGCGACTCCACATGCATGTAATGACATACCAATGTCGAAGTGACCTTTAAAATAGTCTAAATTACATTGATAAAATTTTATATTTGTTAATTTTAATTTATTCACTCTTTCTTTAGCTCTATTCAACGATTTCTCTTTATTTTCTAATAATATTATAGTACAATACGGCAAAAGATGCGCAACTAAGATACCTAAATGACCACTACCAGAACAAAAATCTACAATTATATCTCCTTTTTTTGCCAATTTTAGAACAGGCTTACACATATTTTGTAATTGCTCGTGTTTCTTTTCTAAACGCGAAGGTGGCAAAGAACCACCCTCTGGGGTAGCATCATATGGAACTAAAGACCAATCAAGATCTAATTCCGCACCAAATGGTTCCAAATCGAATTTAGTTTGTATGTTTAAGGTTTTGAATAATTGCAATGAATGCTCCACATCTTCTTGCTTTGTATAAATTCGATTTTTTGCTTTATATCTTTGATGCAGACTTTCATTTGCTACATCAGGAAGTGTATAATTGAATTTATTTATATCTTGATTTTTTAACAATGGTAAACATTTAAGACAATTGAATATAATTTGATTTTTAAGCATTCTTTTGTACCATTTATCAGTCAATGGAAGTAATTTCATTACTGTTTCACTCGAAAATATAGTTAATAAAATATGAGTACACACAAATATAATTATATCTGCCAAGGTCATATATGAACCTTCGGCATATATATGTTCTAATGTTCCATTTTGCGAAATTATATTTTCATTTGAATATTTTTTAGACATAATATACTTATATAGATTGTGTAATCTAACTGGTTGCGACAAATGTCGTTCAAATCTTGCCATACTGGAAGGCAATTTGTTTTGCATTGCATCATCTGTATGTAAAAATTTTACAGTTAGAATTAAATCTACTTCGCAAAATTTCGTCCAAACACTTGCTTCTGAACAAGCAGTTAGACAAGAATCTTTGAATCCTAATAATTTCCGACAATAATGTGTTGGGCATTCTGTCGCGACATCCTTAATTATTTGTCGCAATATCGCGCAAAGACCTGCGATGCAACTAGCTTTATTTATAACGATAATTGGCAATTCACATGAAATTGCAGGATATGGAATTTTATTTAAGTCTATTATTTCATATACAAAAGTGGAAATATCTATAGTGTATGCTCGTTCAAGAAGTTTTTGTTTACTTGGTACAAGCTTAATACTAATTTTAGATTCACAATATTTTACAGTAAACAATGTTATTATTGTTTCTATAGGGGCTAGACATAATTCTTTCAAAGAATATACTTCCAAATAAACTTCATTCATTTTTTTGAATTATCTCAAAGTTCATAATATAAATAAAAGAAATAAAAAAAGCTATTTATTAAATACTAGTTATACACTAGCTCTTAATTGTCTAGCCACTTTTCTTATTATCCTTTGTCTCAGCACATTTTCTCTCCAATAAACACTAATACATGAACTTAATGCCAAAAGAAACATAAATGCTTCAAACTTCCAAAATGCTCTTTCTTCTAACCAAGCTACCCTGTCACAACTGAATTATATATATTTATTTTTTATTATAAAATTGTTTTTATTCTTTGTATACCATATAATATAATATAATATAATATAAAATTGGATACAATTATTTACCTTCTTGTTATAGCTTCTCCACTTTTACATTTTAAAACTTCCTTATATCTGGCATGAATACACACATCGATACTTTTACTTGCTATTTCAAAAGCAGAACATGGATGACATTCTGATGTTATTTCATATTCATCTCCGGAAACACATCTTGTATTATTTTCAAAATTCTCCAAATAAAGTTTATTAGAATTATCAGTCCAATGACTTTCAACAATTAATACCAATATTGTTAATCTAAAAGAAATTAATAAAATATAAAAGAAGCTAAATATATATATATATTAAGCAACACGTGTTAATATTTATAGTAACTGCAATGTATAAACAAAATATAAGATAAAACTAACCCTCCTAATAATGTTATACCAATTAACATTCGTTTTTTTGTACATAACTCAATCATTTCGATGTATACTGTTTCATGGATTTCTTCTTTTTCGTCAGCTTACGTGATTCATGTAGAAAGTGAATAAAAATTTCAGCACGATAAAATCTACACAAATACAGTTGAAAGTATTTGTAAAACCGTACTGTTCTTATTACATATGAAGTATACTACGTATATAAGTAACACGTGTTTATTGGATTATTGTATATACATTTTTTCCATAAGGTGGCAAATAGAATATTATATATCAATCTCATGATAATTTTATTTGTATTAATTTTCTGAGTCTGTTATTTTGACAGATGTTGTATATATTTTCTCTAAAGCATTATTCATTTTTTGTTTCTAAAACCATAGACTAGATATAAAATAGATTGTACTAATAAAATTCAGATATATATTTAAGAAAGCAAATAAAGCATAATGTAATCTAACAACTAATTGTATATTCTAATAATTAACTCAAATACTGTAGTTTCAATAATATGAAATCCAATTTTTATTTTTAATACAAAAAAAATTTTTTTTAAATATAATAATAATTTAAGATAAATAAAAAATATGTTTAATGTGTTTTTATTAAAAGTTGTTTTTTTTTTTACGCTATTTTTTTGAAAAGTGAAATTCATATTATTCACAATAAATTTCTTACAAATCTTTGGCATTATCTCTTTAAAAAACATTGAAATATCTTTACATATAATTTACCGATAATAAAAGTTTTAGTATTTTCTAAAAAATCCACTATTACTTAAAAATTATAACAATGTTACCGGTAATAGAATGAAACAAGTTTGAACACTTTTCAAAGAGATGCATTATATATATTATAAGTTAAATATATGTAGTATACATACATTTTATGTTTGTACATATCTTTATAATATATTTATATTTTTGCAGCTTCATATTTTAAAAAAGTAAGTGTATAAAAAGTAAACTTAGAATAGAATAGCATATTATATTTTATAATTAGCATTAGTAAAATAAAAAGATAATAAAAAATAAAAAAAAAGAATTCTTATCAATGTATCAGAGTAAAGAAATAAATATATAAAAGACAATAATCTTTAGAGTTATATAAATTACAAATATAAAATCTCTAGAATTAAAAATCCAAAAATAAGCAATTATAAAGATAAATAAATATGGAAAAAATAAGTATGCAAAACATAAGTTTACAAAATTTTACAAAAATTTCGCATGACAATTTAATCATATTTTACTCATATAAACTTGAAAATTTAATTAAAAATTTCTGATTTGAAAAAATTTGATTATGTCATCGAATTATATTCTCCTGATACAAAACTGAAATTTTTAACTGAAAAAATTTTTTATTTAAATTTTGGGAAAATATAATTAGACAAGAGATGATGCACGAAATTTTTTCAAAAATTCCGAATTTCCACAAATTTTTATTCAATTTTATGTTTTTATATTAAGATAATATAATTCTGGAATTATATTATTTTATTAATTATATTATATTATATTATTATTATATTATATTATATTATTAATTTAACATATTTATACTTTTACTTTATACTTTATATTTTTTATTTTTTTTTTAATTCTTTTTCGTATATATCAAGAATTAATCATTTTTGAACATTTTAATTCTAAGGAATTAAGAAACTATAAAGAACTAAAGATTTATAAAAATGTATAAAGTATCTCACAGAATTATAATATTTATGAAATACTTTGTTTGTTTTTTCTATTATTAAGAAATGTTTCAGATGAAAGTTTTAAGGGGTTATTGTAAAAAAATTATTATATTATTAATTTTTAGATAATAGATAAATACATAAAGAAATAAATTCAAATTTATAAATAACTGCAAGTTCTAACTTTATTTTTTTAAATGAAATTATTTTTTAATATACAAATTAAATGCATCTTGATATTTTCTATAAAAAAGTATTATACCAAAATCATATTAATAAAATTGTTACCATTGCTAGTATGCATTGAAAATTTATTATGAAAGCTATCATGAAATTCTAATGTAGAAGAATCTGAAAATTCTATAATATTAACAAAAAATGCAACTGCATAATTTAAAACACAATCTAAAGAATTAAAATAAAAAATAAAATTATACTAAACTAAATATAATAATATAACTAATAATTAATATAACTAACTAAATATAATAATTACAATTTCTAATGCATTAGAAATTGTAAAAATAATAAAAATTGAGATTCTAATCTAAAGGATCGAAATTTAAAAATTAAAAATTTAATGATTTTGTATCAATTATTATATAGAATATTATATAGAATATTAAGAATCTATATATAAAAATAATTATCTCGAATGATAAATTTTTTGGGAAAAAATTTTAATATATATTTGAAATAAATATTTAAAAAAAAGAAAAATTATTACCATTCTATTATTAAGATAATAGATATAGATTAATTTATATAATGGCAATAATATAATTTTTATCAATTATTAATTATTATATAATATTACAATAAATAAAAAACAATCTAGTAAATAAAATAAAAAACAATCTATGATATTTAGAAAATTAAAAAATTTCATAATCATAAGAATCAAAAAGACACGAAATATAAAAATATGTTTTATTTTCACACAATTTTAACATAATAAATTGCCTAATAGGCAATAAGATTGAATACATTGAACAACTTGATATAGTTTAATATTATATCATATAGTTTAATATCAAAACCGCGCTTGTTTAGATCTCACTTATAAAATCAGTGAGCGATCAGTGAATGAGCGAAGCGCGAGTTAAGTTGTACAAAGCACAAGTATATTAGAAGCACAGATATTTACGACAGAAAACAACTTCTCATCGCAACATTAAAAATCGAGTATTAGCATCATGTTTGTATAATTTTTATATTATGCAAGAAGGCACGTGCAAAAATCAGAAATTCGCTTGTCATGGAAATACAGATGTATTGTTACTTGAAAATATAATTTTTTTTTGTTTAGAAAGATTCAGACTTATAAGCTATGTATAAATGATATTTTTTATTGTACATATATGTTCAAAAGCGAGATAAACCCTGTACATTTGATATGCTTTTTAGTTTTTAGAGATGAATATCAATAAATAAAAAGAAAAAAAAATACATATAATTGAAAAATTTGAATGATACTGATAATATTAGACCATGCACAAGCACTTTTAAGGAAGAAAATACATTTATTGTTACAAAATACGAATCTGTGTATTATCCAATTTGAAATAAAAAAATGAAATAAAATGAATAACATAGTAGGAAGAAGAAAATCTTGTGAGATAATTATTTTTTTCAAGCAACACTTTAAAATGATTGATGTTATGATTAAATCTGATTATACTTCATTTAATTTGAACAATGTTAAACAGTTATTATTGTCATATATCGTTGAAATTAATTTCTCAACGATAACGTCTATTTGCCCAACATTGTGAACAATAGTAATCATTTTCCGCTGAACCGAAAAATTGGCAATCTTCATTCCGACATTCTTTAACAATAGCCTAAAAAAAACCTCAAATTATTTAAATTCCATAATTATAATGAATATTTAAAAATATACCAAACTATTGTTGCTATTCCATAGCTCTGGCCCCGGTTTATAAGATGATGGTTGATCATTATAAAAAGTAGATCTGTAAAAAAAATATTTTATTTTTATTATAATAGAGTTAATATGATAATTCTTGTAAATTGTATTATGTAGAAAATACCTTGAAAGATAAAGCGTACGATCTTTATTTGGATTGGTCGGTAACAATTTACTAACACTTGCATGACTATCTCGATCACTGACAGCATAGAATTTGGATTTGCCTGCACCATAATTCATTTCACTACCAGTTTCGTCGACTTTATGATCTTGCAAATACCTATATTATATAATGAAAAAAAAAAAATCATATTTTACAATCATAAATGATATATAGTATAAAACCTTATTATACCTTGCATGTGCACATTGAAGATAATTCTGAAGCATCTGATCCACGTACTGATGACGTCTACTTCTAATCTTTACACATAATAAACCTTCTGTAGAAAATCCACCTGCCGTTGTTGGTAAATTCTTTGGTCTCTTTGTCATAGACCACAATCTTTTACTAACAGATTTTCCAATTGATCCAAATTGTTTAGCAACACCAAGCAATTGTTTCGCTGTTTTAGATAATGAACCATCAGTATCGGATAATCTTTCGATTTCTTCCGATGTAAAATTTTGATATTCACAGTCTAAATATTGTCGTAACAAAATTTCCATCTAAAATACCAATATTATGAAATTATATTTTATGCATTATATTTATAATTTATGTTACTAAGAATTAATTACTGTATCTTGTTGACAAGTTAATAAATCTTGAAAACCTTCTTCCCAATCCCAATCAGGTCCTGGATCTACCGCGAATAAAACTGGTAATAATTGACCTGTATCTGGATCTATAAGAGGTATGCTAACACCTTCATTAGAAGCATCTCCAAAATCACTCGCTCCATCCACAGTAACAAGAGGAGAAAAATGAGCTGAATGATATGCTAAAAGCAATGGTGTTCTATGACAACGTGATGGAGGTACTTCTAATGGTAGATACACTCCACCAAATGGAATTGGAGCTAAAGCTACACCTTCTGCATCTTTTAACATAGTTTCTGCTATAACTATTATAGGTCTTTTTAAAGCATGAGCCAAAGTTAATACATGTACCTATAAAGTTTTAACATTATAAATATTTGATGAAAATTTTAGTATTTAAGAAAAAAATGCAAAAAATTTTATATACTTCTTCAAGACTTTGATAAGAAGTAGCAGTTTGATTTCTAAAAATAGGAGAAGCCATATCTACAATAGTTTGCCATTCTGTTAACCATTCTGTTTCTGTATAAGACAATCCTGAAGCTGCATTTAAGCCTATTTGACGCCACTTCCATCTTCTAAATAAAGCATGTCTATATTCTCCTTTGGCTAAAGTATTATGCAATGCTTCTCTTAGTGTAAGAAGTCTATCATGAAAGCCCCACATGCCAAGAGAAGCTGCATGTAGAAGACAATTGCCATCTCCTGATGTTGCCAAAGGCCATAAAACTCTGTTAGTTTCATTTTTACCCCCACACCACCAATTTAAACGACCAGCAGCTTCTAAAGAAGTTAAACATCCACCTTCTATCAAATCTTTTTCCAAGAATTGGCGAAATGAATCTAAGTATAATATATTATATCCAATTAACAAAGTATAATAAAGAAAATAATTGTAATTATTATATTGAATAAAGCATGGATTACCTGGATATAAAGTTAGATCAGGTAATGAGAATGTGAATTCTGGAGTATCTAAAGATCCTATAGTAGCTAACTGTGAACGAGCATAAGAGACAATAGCTGCATTTTCAGTTGCTCGAGATATACCTCTTGCCAATTTCTTTGTAGTTCCTCCTTCACTTTCCAATGCATTATTAGAATTTGTCTCTTTCTCCAAACCATCATATGTGGATAATCCTACGTTCATTACACTGTTTTATTATTGCACCTACAAAGTAGTAGTTCATCTAAAATTTATGATATTACAATTACAACACTGGTAGAAATATAATATAAATATTATATGTTAATTATTATGTAATCTATAATTAAAAATTACAAAAAAATACAAAAATTAAACACAATTAAGTATACATCTATAAATTAATATTCAGAAATAGAACAAGGTGACATTAATAATTTAATAAAAAAATAACATAGAATCATTGAATACATAATGAATTCAATTATAAACATAAATAAAAGGAAAATTTGCAAATGATAAAAAAGTATTTTTTAATCTTTAGAATTACGAAATATCGAAAATAAATACACGTACATGATGATGAATACATATATTCAGAGTTTGTGTGTATATGTATCTATGTCGGATATGATTATTTAAAAAGTGCAAACCTTGGCCTATATATCGAATTAGTGAAGTGAAGCAGTGTGGTATAGTATCGTTAAATAGTATTCTAATTGCTTTACAATATATAAACCCTTCGTATAGTTTTTCATATTTCGTATCACGGTACTTATATTAAAACCTGTCTTAAGAAGGCCATCCGCAATGTATAAAAACGATTAAGAATTTGTTTGCACTGATGGTGGTATGCACAACATAACCTAAAGCACGAAACCTCGAAACTATCTGGTAAAAGAGTGAGAAGTGAATTATTATTGTTGCGCACGGAAGTTACTGTGAAATTTTAAACCAGTCACATGTCAAGCTTATGAGTGGTACACTGTTGTTATTTACGCAGTAATGTTCCCACCCATCAATGAACAGGTTTGTCTGATCGCGATAATGCAATTAATTTTGAAATGTAAAAAAATCATCTACGTACTACCATTTATCTTATAACATTATGCCGTTACTTAGAAATGTATTTAACCTTGAAAATATACATTGCGCATCATATGTACCACCTACCTATGTGCATTTAAATACATCACGTTTATAGAATAATCGAATAGAAAACATTATTTGAATTTTATTTTATCAATCATTGATCTTTATCATTTTCTTTTTAATTTCATCGATATAAAATTATTCTTTAATTTCGTTATGTTAAGAAATATATTATATATTTTAATTCATTATGAATATCATATATTACAAAAATAAATTTTTTTATTTTTCTGATAGTTTGAAATGGGTTATGTTGACTTTCATACTTACAAAGCAATCATGTATACATTCTTAACAATAGAAAATTTTTCATTGATTGTGTTTTATTGAAAAATTTATAATAGATTTTTTTATTGATTGTGTTTTATTTGAAAACTTATAGAACAACGAAATAAACTGAATAAACCGCCTTAAGTTGATTTACTAACTTACGTGCAAACGTAGCGCCACAGGTTATCGTTTCTCGATGTGTAGTTCGTCTACCTCGTTTAAAACGTGAGACGCGATCATGCCGATGTAGTAGGCGAGCACAAGTGTGCGTATTCTGTACTCGTATCTGTTTTAAATCTCAAAAAATTGGTCAATTTTGTTGGAAAAGTTTTTTAATTTATCGCGGGTAATAACAGACTCGCACAGTAGAGAAGAAATTGAAAGAAATAACAATGAATAGTTGTGGAATATACCTGATATTTTTTCTATCAGTTAATCTGTTGATTCCATTGGGCCACGTCGCCGGTTCCAAGGTGTTACAAATTCGTGGCATACCTATCGCAAAAAGTTCACTTTATTCATCAGATCGTGACTTCCAATGCCTTGATGGAAGCCTATTAATACCATTTTCACGTGTAAATGATAACTATTGTGATTGTGCCGATGGCAGTGATGAACCTGGTACATCTGCCTGCACCAACGGTTCATTTTATTGTGAAAATTCCGGTCATAAGCCACGCTATATACCATCCACCTGGGTAAATGATGGTGTTTGCGATTGTTGTGATTCCAGTGATGAATATAACTCGGGTAAAGAATGTCCAAATAATTGTAATGAACTTGGAAAAGAAGCTAGGTTGGAACAACAAAAGGCAGAAGAATTAATCAGGGAAGGAAATAAGATAAGAATGGAAATGATTGCCAAGGGTAAACAATTGAAGACAGATTATCAGGCACAATTAGTTAAATTACGTGCTGATTATGAAGAGGCAGAACGTGTGAAGAAAGAGAAAGAATTATTGAAAATTCAAGCAGAAGAACGAGAAAGTGCTGCTTTAGAAAAATATAAGACAATTGAATCTGAACAACCAGCACAGGAAGAAGGAGAAGAGGAAGAAGAATTACACGAATCAGATGCTGAGGATTATTTTAAATTATTAGACTCTGATAATAGTGGTACTATAACAGTTGCAGAACTTCAAACTAGAGTGACATTTGATAAAGATCGGAATGGAATTGTAAGTGAAGAAGAGGCAATGTTTTTCTTAAATAATCAGAAAGAAATCAATCTTCAAGTATTCATGGATACAGCATGGGCAAATATCAAGCCGTTTTTAATGTTAGAACAAGGTAGATTGTTATTTATAAATTCATTTTATTTTCAGTTTAAAACATATATTATATTAATATTTCATTTTAGGTATGTTTAAGCCAGCAGAGCAAAAAGAAGAAGAAGGAGAAGAAGAAGAAGAAGGAGCAGAAAATATTCATGAACCAATAGAAGATAGATCTGAGCAAGAGAAAGATGAAAATGATGGTACAGAAGCAGAAGAAGTAACAGATGAAGAACAAAAGAAAACTGAAGAACCTCAAGTGCAATATGATGAAGAAACGCAAGCTCTAATTGATGAAGCAACAGTTGCTCGTGAAAATTTCCAAGCAGCAGAAAAATCTGTAAATGACTTATTATTGGAAATCAGAAAGTACGAAGAAAAATTAAATCGTGACTTTGGTGTGGAGCATGAATTCGCTCCTTTGGATGGTGAATGTTTCGAGTATAGAAATGTGGAATATATCTATACTTTGTGTATGTTTGTAAAAGCGACGCAGAGATCGGAATCTGGTGGCAATGACGTTACTTTAGGTCACTGGAACGATTGGAACGGACCAGAAGGTCAAAAGTATTTCAAGATGAAATATGATCGAGGACTTAGCTGTTGGAATGGTCCTGCCCGTTCTACTATGGTCAATTTAAGCTGTGGTAAAGAAAATAAACTAGTCTCAGTGACAGAACCTAGTCGATGCGAATACGCTATGGAATTTACCACGCCAGCTGTATGCAATCTCAGCCTGGAATCTGCTAATGCACACGACGAATTATAAATTTCATATCTTATAAACGCGCGAAATTTAATACGCGATTATATGAAATTGAAATATAAGATATATAAAAAATAGCAAGGATAAATAATGATCACATCGATTCATCTAGTTCGTTTTTCGAACGTTAAACTTTAAACGTGAAACGTTATAACAATCGCGAGTTTACACATCATTTTTCACTGTCGTAAACAAATGAAACTCATAATTATCTCTTGCACATTATGTAATAATAATGTCACGAAACATCGAATCTGTGATTGATTATTCGTCCTTGCATTAGAATTTTCTCGTCGTTGTACTTGTATACTAAACAAACGGAATTCGTAGCCGATAACGCGATCGTGAGTTATCGACGAGCTCGGTTTGCTTAAATAGTAGACAGAGACATTTTAATATTCGTGATAAGTGAATAAGAAATTGTTGTTACATGGTCATTGCCAATATTGTGTCACTGTTATACATTCCTTTTTTTGTACGAGATGAATTTTTATGAAATCGGATTAGAATAAAATGACCTGAATTGTTTCACTCGTCGTTAGGTCACCACGCGATCGAGCGACCAATTCTTTTCGTCTACAAATTCTTAGAAAAAAAAAAAAAAAA